AAAGAGGGGGACACTAATGAGCCCCAGAGTGGATGACTCTTGTGGTGTTATGTTTTTGTTGTAAAACCCCAACAAATAAAATAAAGGCTCAAATAAAGCCCAAGGGGAAAAAAACAACAACAAAAAAACAAACAAGACAAGATGAGCGCCGCTGTAGTTCTCGTCCTCTTCTCCGTCCTGACTGCGACACAAGCGTGCGGTCAGAACCTTTTGGAAAACTAGAATTTTAACATGCAGTTAAGAGGTCCGTTTACAGAATAGAGTTTACCGAAAGAAAAGTATAGAATTATGTTTTTGTTGAGTTGCCAATATCTTTTCAAAGTTGTTTGAAAAAAAGGTGGCTGGAAGTACACCAATTTTTAGATAGAGGGGAAATTGGTCAAATGCTATGTCGTCTACTGTTTTACTAACTTCAGCAGTGCCACTAAGACGGTTAGCACAACGCAGAGTCTTGCTATTTGGAACTGACAGAATGGTATAATAATATCACATCATGAAAAGCTGGGGGTCAAATTGCAAAATACTGACAACTTGCTTCTTCACACTAAAGCTGTTTGCTTTTCTTTCTCATAATAAAAAAAAATATGAATACGTCTTGGTTGAAAAAAAAATAGAAATTTGTAAAATAAATAATATAGATCATTGCATGTTACCTCTTCGTTTCATGCCAAAATTAATTTGATGTTTTTGTTTTTCTGTTGCCCCTCCACCTCTATTGCTCTCCACATTTTTAACTCCCTAGAGGGTCCGGACGTGTGCAATGTAATCAGGATGGAAAGTTGGAGCTACGAGTACTCCGAGAAGATTGTGGAAAACACCACATGGGTCCTCAACATGACGGTCGTAGATCGGCAGTCCGCGACTGAGTGTACCCTGGGTGAATCCTTCGGATACCAGAAAGCTACCCTGTGGGTGAATCACGGCTGTCGAGCTGCTTTCAAAGTTTGTTATCTCCCAGGTAAGTTTTAGTAAGTTTTATTACACTTGCGACATAATGTTATAAGTGCCGAATATTGTTATAAGAGAATTAACTAACCCGCCAGAAAGTAGAGGACGACAGATGTTTGTTAGGAAAGGTGCAAACCACACAAGATCACCACCTGCCAACAACCCACATGTCTCCGGTAAGAACACTTGATTCGTTATGATAAGCAAAATGTAAGGTGCTTGACTAAGCTTATTTTATTTCTTCAAAAGGCTCTGTTCACTTTTCTTTCCCAGCAACGTTTCCTAATTAATGTTCATTAGTTGAGAAAAATATAGATTGTGCCGGACCTTTTCAAGAAATGTTAACGTCGTTCAGAGAATGTGTAGTTCGTTATCCTCGTCATTTCTGACTCCCCAGTGAGGTCGACCAAGTGCAAAGTACTTAGGATGGAAAGTTTGAACTATGAGTACGCCGAGCAGAAGGTGAAGAAGGCTGCACTGTTCATCAACATGACCGTTGAAGATCAGCAGTCCGAGGCCAGTTGCGATCTGGATAAATCCTTCGGCTTCGACAATCAGAAATCCATTGTGTGGGTGAATTATGGCTGTCGTGCCGAATTCAATGTCTGTTATATGAAAGGTAGGTTTGAGACGTTAGTTAATTAAGCAAACACCTTCACAGGATGTGAGGCAACTCGCTGGAACTGAGAATATATCGTAGTTTGGACATTTAGAATTTTTGCTACCAACTGGGTATTCCGCGCTTTAGATTTCGAAAAAAAATATTTAGAAGCGAGGTTTTAGTGCGAAAGATTTCTTAAATTTGAAAAGTGC